CCCTCTTATAACACAGATGCTCTCCCTGGTCTGGCCTCTGTCTGAAGACCCCGGGTTTCCAGGCCGTTCCCCTCTGGGAGACGCCTCCAGCTCCTTGAAGAGGCAGTGTGAAAATGCCTGGCCCGGGTCGCCTCAGCCTCTGACGCTCACCCGCTCGTCCCCTCTTGTGGACTCGTTGTCCAGCAGGGGCTCCCCTGGGGCCTGGATCGTCACCGACTTGTCCCCTCGGCTCCCATCTCGGCTCTTAGAGCGGTGTCGGTCCCGGCGGTCCCTGCAGCAGGAAGCCAGGGGAACAGGCACAGAAAATCAAAGAGAGGAAGCGGACTTGTCAGCAGCTGCCACACCCCACCTACCAGTCCAGGACGGCCTCCCTCACCTGCCCCAGCCCTCCTTCTCCACCTGCCCCACCCCGCGCACTGCCCACCTGTGCTTGCGGGAGCTGCGGGAGTGGCCCGACTTGTAGGAATAGCCCGAGTACTGGGACTCGGTGTCCATGGCGTCTGAACGCCGTGCCTTGTAGCGCTCCAGGGCCGCAGGCTGGGGCCTCTTGGGGGGCCCCACAGCCACCTCCTTCAGCACCGGCTTCTTCAGGCCAAGAGGCACCTTCAGGAAGTCAACCGTCACCCTGAGGGACTCTATTTTGCTGGACGGGTGGGCTTGTCTTGGAGAAAATCAAGCGACGCTCCTGAGGAGAGGAAGCACTGGTTAGAGGCAGCCCGACTCCCCGGGGGTCAGAGCAGGGAGGAAGGCCATCCCAGGACAGCCGCAGGCAGCCCAGAGGCCCTTGCTGCGGCCTGGGAATCGTCCCACTGGGTGCAGGCTCCGTCAGGGGGCTGGTTCTCCCAGGCCTGGTCCTAGGAAGAGCCCTAAGGGCTCAGCCAAGGGGAGGAGACACTCCAGTAAAGGCTTCTAGGACATGAAGACGCACTCACGTGGCCCATCCCTCCCTCGGCCCCCTGGAAGGGAGAATCGAGATGGGGCTGTTCTGTTCTCAGCCAGGGAAACTGAGGCTTGGAGAGGGCAGGTTCTGGCCAGGCGGACAGGCTAAACTAGTGGGAAGCTCAGGGAGCGTTAGGCAGCTGGCTTCTTTGGAGAGGCTGCCCAGGCCTCTCCTGCCCCCTCCACTGAGAGCATCTGAGTGCGCCCACAGGGGCTGCCTGCCCAGGCCTCTCCTGCCCCCTCCACTGAGAACGTCTGAGTGCGCCCACGGGGGCTGCCTGCAGCTGCTTGTCTCGGCACCATCAACCCAGCATGGTGGGCCAGGTCGGCTGGCTGCTCTCCTTGAGGCAGTCTGTGTGTGATGGCAACGCTTACAGTATGGCGAGAGTGGGTGGAGAAAGCAAGAGAAACCAGTCTCCAAAAGCCTACATCCTGAAATAGACAAGGCAGGGGGTTTCTCTGGCCGCTCACAGGCAAGCAGCAGCGTCTGCCATGGATCGGGCACCCTCAAATTCTGCAGAGGGAATGACCTGCCTCTCCTCTGCCTCTTCCCAATTCCCAGCCAAATCTCCTTTGGGGCCCAGTCCTGAGCACCCACAGCCGCACCCAATGTGGTCTTCTCCTCTGTCCTGACTCCACCAACAATCACCACCATGCACTGGGCACCTGCTTCCTATCTTCATCCACTGAGTCATCAAATCTCTGTTTTTCTTTTCTAATTTGCTACAGGATGCATGTACTCTCTGGGGGGGGGGGGGGGTTGAGCATCGGGCGGGGGGGGGGGGGGGTTTGACAAAGCATTTCCCAGGGAGGATAGACACACCACACCATTCTCCTCAGGATTTGGGACACACACACACGCACATGCACACACACATGCTAAATGTGTTTTTCAGGCCACTTGATCAAGGACTCAAACTGCACAGTTGGTCATGCGGGATCCAGCTGCCTTAAACTCCATGCCACCACTGATTGGCACCATCAATCTTTTTAACACTTTCTGTATACTTTAGTAGACCCTGGGTATATGCAGGGACTTTGAAAAGTTCAGGGAAAGTGCATATTACAAAAACCTGTGTAGATTTCAAATTTTTTGAAATTTCAAATTTCAAAAAATATGCATCGCGATCCATGCATCACAATGTTTGCATCACGATAAACTGGTACCTGAATTCTGTTCCTTTCCACAATACTTTTGTAGTTCCCTCTCACAGTCTAGCAGGGAAGATGCACACTAACGTAAGCAGATAAATATAAATGACCTGTTGTAAGTGTGATGGACGAACAAGAACAGGAAACTACCCAGGGCAGGGGCTACGTAAACCTGCGTGGTTCTGCAAAGCCTGAGAAAAGGACGCAGGAGCAGAGGCCTGAAGGAGATGCGTGAATCAGACAGCATGGCGGGAAAAGGCCACAGGCAGAGAACTCACACACGGGAAGGGCAAAGGCAGGGAAGAGCTTGGTGTATATTTAAAGAACCAAAAAGGCCAGCGGAGCCAGAGCCGAGGAAGGAGGAGGGCGGTTAAAGCAGAGAGAGCCAGGGGCCAGGAGAGGGGCGGGGCTTATTCTAAGCCACACAAGCCATGGAAGGATCTGCACTCTGCAGAGGAGCTGGAAAGTGGGGGAAGCAGAACTAGAGATCCCTAAGGAGGCTACTGCAGTGGTGCATGCTGGGCTAGGGGTAGGGCTGCTGAAGAGGTGAGAACTAGTCATGTCTGAGACATGTGTTGGTGTGGCATCAACAGGAGCGAATGAAGATTTATTCTGAGGGAGAGGGAAGCATCAGAAATTCCTGGCCTGGGGCCAGTAGGTGGTATAGGGGTTAAGGCACTGGACTGCCACATGGTTGACCATGGTTCAAGTTCTGGACCTGGCAGCTTGAAACTCACGCCACCCAAAATCCCAAGAGGAAAATAGGGAATACAGTGTGGCCATCCCCCCCGGGATGATTTCTCACTTTCTGTCTCTTTGTCTCTCTCTGGCGAGCATATGTGCCCTATAGAAAAATATCTCTCTTAAAAAAAAAATAAAACCTCTGGGCTGAGCAAGAGCAGGTGGTGGTGCCAGTAATGAGGTGGGAAATGAGAACGGATGGCGGCACGGTGTTACAACACCATGCCCTCGGAGGCTGACCAACATGAGAAGGCCCTGGGTTCACATCCGGACACCTCTCCAGTCTGCTGGGCACACACGTGCCCCTGATCTGAGTCTGACTAGGGCTGGGGGTGGATCATGGCACGACGACCCTGTGAGGGTGCTGTCCCTCTGTCTCCCTGTCTTTCTCTGTGTATCTCTCTTACACATGGAAAAAAAAACAAACTAGAAAAAAGGAACAGAAGTGGAAGCAAGTTTGGGAAGGAAGGTAATGAGTGCCATTTCCAAAATGCTAACTAAGTCATGGCCCTGAGACAGCGGGTGTCAGAGGAGCCGCACTCAGCATGTTGAGTTCCAGAGGTAAGGCCTGTAGGGGAACGGGGTCCCCTGGGGAGAGGACTGCCTAGGGACCCTGAGAACTCCACTATGCACATGCCTGCAGAGAAAAGGGAGCAGAGACGGGGTGGAGAGGGTGAGCGGGCAGAGGAGCCAAACGTGGAAACATGAGGTCTCCAGGCAGCCCAGGAAGGAGTGGAGTGAACCAGGCCAAATGCTGCTGCTGAGAACTGAAAGGAACTTGCTGTCTACTCAGCTCTCCTACAACTACTCTAACCCTCTGGGTCTGAGGAATAAGCAACACCCTGATACATGTTTATATCCGTGGGCGCAGGGCAAGGCACTGATGCCTACTTGGTAAATGAATAGGCCCCTGACTCACGGACACTAGGGCGTTAGAGGAAGAGATCGATGCTAAATCCATGCACTTCGCTCCTAACAGTTTTGGACGCAGTCCATGGGCGAGTGCTGTTTGTCCCCATCCCCATGTCAAAGCAAGTGGGTGAGAAGGGCACACTTAGGGGACAGAGCTATATGACCTTAAGCCTTTCTGTGCCACCAACAGGGCCCTGGTCATCCCCCTCCCCCATCTGCAAAGTTACACGTTGGCCTCAGCTACCCCCTTTCCCGAGAACCCATTCTGCTGGTTTTCTCCTCCACGTGGTTTAGACGTCTCACCTGCATCTCTTGATGTGGTTCCAGCCTATTCTTTCTAGTCCTCCTCTTAAAAACTGAGTCTCGCTGGGAGGTTCAAAGACCACAAGTGGGTTGCAGAATAAGGGGGTGGAGACATAAGGCGGAAGGTCAGGACGGCCATGGATTGGAGTCTGGACCCAAACACGGGCACCTATGCACTCCGCCTCCTCCCCCTTGCCGTGAGGACCCACGTCGGCCAGACCCAACAGCAAAAAGAACCTGGGATTTGCACTCAGAGGTCCGGGTTCAGAACCTAACTCTAGCTGTGTGTCCATGAGCACGTGACTTAGCTTCTCTGTGCTTGCAGTCTGGTAAGCTCGTGGGTAAAACAGGGAAGATAACGACACTTACTTCATGGGGGTGCCGTGAGGATCGTGGGGCTAAAAGAAGCACGTTCATAAACTGTTCAGCGAGTAATTAGTTAAACAATTAATATGCACTAGCTCCATAATCGCCCATGCGCCAGCTTTAGACACTTCCTCTGAGACGCGGGAAAGAGGAGGTATAAATAAATCCTGGGTGGTATAAATAAATCCTGGCGTTTGTATTACTAAATAAAGAAGTCTCGCTCTCACTCTCGCTCGCTCTCATACACACACACGCACACACGCACACATACACGCACGCACTCACGCACACACCAACCAGAACCACCACTTCAAACACACCCCGGAGGTAAGCTGATGCTGTGTGTTCCCCTGCAGATAAATTTCAGACCAGACAAGGGTGCCAGTCCCCACCCAACCCTTTGTTCCACGCTGCTCCACCCTGAGCCCCCTATCCTCGCCCCACCCCAGCCCAGCTCCTTATTGAAGACACCCCATAGAGCCCGCTCCCTGGGTGCCCCCCAACATGCTCCTCCCTCCCCTACCACACACAGGAGCCAAAAGCAAACCCAACTTCAGAGATCCTAGCCTGCAACCTCTTCAAACACCCAGGAACTAATCCCAGGACTGGAGGGGCTGGGGGCAGTGAGGCGGCAGGCTGGGAGGTGAGCAGAGAAGGGCAGAATTCTCCTTATTAGATCAGTCTCGGAATAGGGGCTCGGAGGGTCTCAGCATTCCCAGGGAGGGAGGTGGGGGAGGGGTTTGCCGGAGGAGATCAACAAGTGGAATGTCAGAGGGATGATGGGGCTGAAGGCAGAGAAGTGGGGGCTCAGAGCTGCAGGGAGCAGCCGTGGCCCTGCTCCGGGGGCGGAAGCTGTAAAAAGGGAATGTGCCCTGTTGCTTTTCACCTTGCTCCCCATTCCCCAACACAAACACAGGCCATCAGTCCCCTGCTCAAGCCAACCATGGATTATCTGGGGTTAAAAGGAGGCCAGAGAGGAGAGAGGGAGGGAAGAGAACCCGGCACAAAAAGGAGACCCTTCTCTCCAAAGGCCTTTCAGAAATAAAATTAATGGAATGTGTCTCGGTATCATCCCAAGGGGATTGGGGGGAGAGCTGGGGGGAATGTGGGGGCTTTTGTCCCGGCTGCCCACATTGATCACCATGGCAACCAAAGCCCCCTGTTGCCTAGGTGATGGCAGCCACGTCCTGGAACCCATACCCAGCATCCAAAGCGAGAGAGGTTATGGAGGTGGGGGGATAGGGACAGAGGGGGAGAGAATGGGGTTTCTCCTCTGGCGGCCCCAGCTTTTGTCTGAGCTCTGGGATCGGGTTTCTTCAGGAAACAATTGGAGGCCTCTGGAAAAAATACACTCAGAACCTGGCAACAGGCAGAGGGAACAAGGCCCTGAGGTGGGGGCGGGTATTGGCCAAAATACAGAGCAGGACAGACCCACCCCTCGGTCCCGCTCAGAGCAGCTCAGGTGGACAGGCACGCGCACACACAGCGACCTTCCCGGCTCAGGCTGGGTGCTGCCATCACGCCCTCTCCTGCCTATGCTCTTCCCTGGTCCACCGCACAGCTTGGTCCCCCAGCCTGTGAGGCCTGGGGTGGGGGGATGAGACGGAGCAGACAGGACGGTCCTGGGAGAAAGCACTGTGGAGCCAGGGTGACTCGGCCAGAGACAAAAGGGACACATGGAAAAGAGCACCCACTGTCCCCTGCCCTCCAGGACAGGCTGGAAGTAGCAGACCAGCCTGCAGAGATGGCACTTGGATGGAGGGTGGGAAAGAGGACAAGAAGCCCGAGTTCTTCTCCGAGGGGTAGATCTGGGGTAGGACTAGAGAGGAGTGGCCCAGCCTGGACACAGAAGAACAGCAGGGTGACCTCTTCAGACCCTTCCCGAAAGGAGTCTGTGGGTCCTTGCCCAGAAAGGTCTCCAGTTCCTCGACCAGAGCATACACCTTGCACCCCTTTTCCCACTACAGTCCCTGCGGGCACCCTGAGCCCCATGGCCCCCTAATCTTCATCAACCACATCCCTAGTGTCCAAGGCTATCAATGTAGTTCCACTCACAAGGCTGGATGCACTGCTTCCTACGGTGAGGAGGGGACCCCCCTCCCAGCCCACAGTTCAGAGACCTGGAGAACACCTGGCCATGCAGACTGGCGGAAGGCAGGGCAGGGAGCCAAGGACTCAGCTGTCCCAGGGCCCTGGCTTGGTGTCTCTCCTCTGTGCCAACCCCCAGGTTTCACGGATGTGCTCAATCAGGCTGCCGTCAGACACCGCTGGGGCTGAAGGGGTCTAGTGTGGGGTGGAAACCCAGGCACCTACCATGCGTGCCCCAGAGGACACAGGTGCTGAGCCTCTGACTAGGCCCACAGGGTTCCCCACCCAACCCTTCTCTCCCCTCCAGGAGACAGGGGTGGCCCCACCCACTTGACAGCAGGCTCCAGCAATAGGCTGAAAGAGGCCTCGAAGGTACAACCTCCAGTTTTACAAGTAACAGTGAGGACCCAGGCCAGCCACAGTGGCACCACAGTAACCACCTCTGTGATGCTGAAGACACATGAGAAGGTCCCGGGTTTATGCCCTGAGGTCTCCCTGTATGTACTAGGTACATAAGTGCCCATGATTCTGGTTGGTGAAGGCGAGGGGTGGACCACAGTGTGAAGACCACCCTGTTGGGAATACCTTCTCTTTCTTTCTCTCAATATAAACTTAAAAAGAAAGAAAGAGAAGAAAAGAAAAAGTGGAGCCCAGAGAAAGAAGGTAGTTCACATAAACACTACTCTGGCCAGTTTTCTTTTTTTTTTTGGAGAGGTTTTTGCTACAGGACGCGTGCGCTCGCCAGACAGACAGAGAGAGACAGAGAGACAGAAAGCGAGAAATCACCCTCCAGGGGGGATGGTCACGCCGCAGTCCCTTCTCCTCCATTCTCCTCTCTGGATCTTGGGCACGCACGCACACGCGCCCAGCGTGAGTTTAAGCCACCGGGTCCAGGACGCGAACCGCAGTCAACTATATGGGAGTCCAGCGACATAGCCATTATGCTAACTGCTGGTCCCTCTGGCCAGTTTTCAGTTGCCTCTTACTGGCTGTCTTAAAGGCCTTACTGACACTGAGACTGTGAGATGTGCTCCTCTCAGAGTGAAACCAAGAGACTCCATGACACTCCTTCTGGTGCTCTGACTAGCCAAGGTGATAAAGGCTACCACAGGAGCAAACAGGCTCACTCCTACCCTACCACCCTCTTCTCACCAGTGACAAAGGCACCGAGACTAGACAGGCCTAAGCTAAGACAGTAAAGACCACAGAGCTCCGACCCCCTGGGGGATGGCTTCGGCATCCACCCATCCACCACTCTCAACTGCAAACACTGATGTTCCTTCACTCGTTATCGTCCAGCCTTGGACCACGGACAGGCTACTCCATGCAAAAGGCTCCTTCTGGGTTTGCCCTCCTACAGAAAGGGGGCAAGGGCCCACACCAAGCCCTAGACCAAAAATTGTTTGGCCAGCCTCATTTCTATACCCTGTAATAGGGCCCCGGTGTCTCTAGGTGACAGTACTGACCAGGCCGGCGAAAGCGGCTGGACCTCAGTGGGCTGGGAGGTGAGGAAGAATCAGACCAGGGAGCCTGGAGCTGCCTCAGGTGCCCTGCCCTACCCTGTGAACCAGGCACTCACCCAGGACAGCCCCAGACATGAGCTCACCATCCTCCTGGCCGCAAGGTGAAGGCAGGAGCCTTCCCTTCCCTGCCATGCAGTAGGGTGGGGGCAGTGCTTGGGTTACCCAGGCTTTTGGCCTCTAGAGCAACGGGTCACCACCAGACCCCAATGCAGGGAGCATTGAGAGGGTGCCTCCTCCCAGCTTGGGCTCCCAGCCAGGATACCTGAGCTTGCATTCTAATTGAAAAGGTGCTGGGGGAGCCAGAGGTAAGCCCTTCTCCACCAATTTCCTTAATTTTCCTCAGTCCAAGGCAGGGGAGTGAGGCAAGGTACCCTCCAAATCCACAGACACACACACATACGCCCACACTCCTATTCCCCCTCTGAATCCTGGAATGGCTCCGGCCAGCCCCACCCAGCTCCACCCACCCTGGCTAGGCAGGTTCTGTAGAGACCTGCTCTGCTGTCTCTCGGGCACCCCACCCCCACCATCTGAGGTCTCAGAAAGGCCCTGCCCCTCAATGCAAGAACACACACACCAGAGCACCCTATTCCCTACCCTCCCCCAGATCTACTCCAGTCAGTCTTGAAGGGAATGGGGTGCAGAGTGAGTAATCCCTTTGGCATCGGTCCCAGGCGGGGGCTGTGGGGAGACAGGACGCTAACCCTGTGGGAAGTAATCAGGGCTTCTAGATGCCCGGATGCTGTACTGAATGTTCACCAACAGGCAGGCCCCACAGTCCCACCCACCAGGCCTTGAGCAGCTTCCTACTCTGCTGGGGCAGAGGACTGGCGTCTACCTGTCCTCCAGGTGAGCAAAGAACCAAAAAGGAAAACAGGCACCTCGAGGTGTCCTCAGGAGCAGGGGAAGGCGGACAGGGGAAGCGGATGGACTACAGATCCATAACCAACTTCCTGTGCACTCTACATAAAAATGCCTGCTCTCTTCATCCCTGCTGTCCCAGCAGCCACAAATGTCCCTGGCCCCAAAAGACCCTCGGAGCCCCTCACACAGCCCATCTCAAGGATCAATGAGGTGGGAGACAGC